AAAATCCCCGAATTGCACAAACTTGCATTGCGCACTTTGTCCATGTACACATCGATATATTTTCACTTGAAAAGTCAAAGGAGCACCAAATTCTACAATATAGGCAAACAAAAAATACATAATCTCAATAAAATACATTTTAAACCAAACAATAAAATAACATAAAAAAGGAAAAACATGTTATACATTTAAGCACTACCAAAAGTAAATATTCACTTACCATGATTTTCGAGTTCGCTTTGTACACCCAGAGCCACGCAAAAATCAAAATATCAATCATACTCAAATGACTTTTTTCAAACCAGGTACTCTTTCTCATTGAATGCTTCACATAGTGACCATCTGAACCTTTCTTCCTACAAACCCATTCAAATCCATCTAAACGGTTTTTACATTTGACTAGATGCATATCCTTCCTACATACAGGACACTTATAATGGCTACTAAGTAAACCTTCATTTACACACCAGTCAAATAAAGCTCTTTTTCCCTTTCGCTCCAAATCGGAACAGAAACTTCAAATTAATCTTGCTACATTCAGCCATTCTACCATCTAAAGAATCAAACCAACACACACCACAAAAACGCTTATGAAACATCCAATGATTCAAAATTTCCCAGAATCATGCACCCGATTACGTCACAATAGGGTTTCCATAACATTCAACTACTCAGGCTACCATAAATGAAACAGCAACTTGGCGATAAATCAAACAACTTCGCCATAATACAAGGGGTACCTTAAAGTCCACTCTACCCGTCAATTTGATATACTATTATACTTTTTTATTACAATCTATAAAAAAGGGGGAGAAAAAAGAAAACTACCAAATACAATTGAAATTAAATGGGAGGCATAACATTGTTTATCTCTTCTAAGAATGAAGAGAAAATTTCAGCCCTCTTTTTTTTTTTTTTTTTTTTTTTTTGTTGTTGTTGTTGTTGCTGTGACTTACCTCACTTGTCTCTCATAATACAACAACAAGCCCACCAACTTCATAACGGCAAAGACAGCAATACTATGTCTGTCATTGGCAAGAGCCTTCAGCACCATACAGTATAACTTTCTTCAGCTCCGCCCCCAATTTTGACGGAGAGCATATTGGGAAAGTGGATCAGAAGGCCTTCCAAGCCTCTTCTCCTACCGTCAACCTCTCACGAGGACTTTTGGTTCACTGCATATTTATGTTATACAATGTCCCCATTCCATACAGATACCACATATTTACAAATATCCAGACCTTCTCCAGGATTCAAACCCAGGCCCTTCAGTAAACCAATCAGCATCGCTAACCATTTTGTTTTTGTGTAAATATCTCTACATAAATTTAGATTAATAAGAATGTGCTGTCAAACGGTGCTGCGATGCATTTATTACACCTTTTAGTACTGCCTCACAAATGCTGTATCATTTCAGTATGACATACACTTTCAGGTGGCCGAAATTATATTTGTGGTTGACAGTAAAATGCTCAATGCCTGCATCTCACAATTCATCTAATTTATATGCTTTCCAGCAATCAATATCAATTAATGCTTCCTTCTGCAATATTCTCTTTTATGAAATTCAATAAAGTTTTTGCCACTAGATCTAGAACAGTGACAAAAAAACATTCATTTCATTCTCTGCACAAGCCAACAAAAACTCACTGTGGTGAAAGAACACACACAATACTGCTCTTTCTTCGAATGAAAGGCTTTCATTTACTTAAGTAATCTTGCAACATCTGCTGATTTTCAATATAGGTCGAGCAATTAAAGCTGTGGCATGCCCCTCATAACTTTTCCAGTCTACATTTGTACTGTGATCCATCTTCAGTCAGAGTTCACAAAATTCAAGTAGGTGTCATCTCCTGATAATTAAACTAGATGAACATCATGACTATAAGGAATACAGTTTTTGATCCTTTGAACTAATTATGTATTCTTAATCCTTTATCATTCTTACAAGATTCTTTCCTTTGCAGCTCCATTTCACTGTTGAGTCATTGACAAAACAGTTTCATCTTGTGGCTCTTCTAGCATAATTTTCTATCATGAATGATGCCTTTTCTTTGAAAACATTCTACTGCAGACCTTTTGTCCCTGAGCAACTCTTAAATTATTATATCTATAGCATTATCAAAAAATTAAAAGCATATTTCTACAGTGAGTTAAAAACCTAAAAACTATCTGAATTTGCACACAGTTTAAATTCATGCACATTTAAATAAATCTAAACTTATGTACATTTTGCAATTAAATGAGCATATATGCTAAATTTGGTGCTTTTGTACATATATTTTCGTTGGAGTTTTATACAGTCCCAATAACGGAATTGCACTACGATTCAAAAATGCATGTACCAAAGTTTGAATTAATTTAAGGAACAGATAAAATAAAAAATTCTCCCTTTTTATGGGATCCTTACCACCCTTTGAAAAAAAAGTAAATATTAAAAAAGCACAGAAAATATAGCAATAATATGCACAGTGCAATAATTGCGCCGGAGCCCACCGGAACCCCGCTCCGGTGCTTCTCAAATTTAAAGATAAATTACAACTTTAGCCGGAGTGCACCGGAGACCTAAATAAGATGAGCTCCGGTACTTCTTTTTGTAAAACTGAACCACAATTTAAAGGGAACAAAATTTAGAATTCCTAACGTTTTAGTTTAACAATAAGCAGACCTTGCTGAGCCGTTCAAATAAATTCCCCTCACTCACATGCGGAAACCTTTCCCTTTAAGAGAAGCAATAATTTGCGGCAGTTTGTTTAGGAACGTCTAAATTTCTCGTCATGCCATTGTATCTAGTGTATTGTTATCGATGCTTACAGTTAGTTGTCCTCGCAGAAAGGAAAATTTGTGTTCTTAAGTGTGCGTTAAGTGACAGCGAGTACAGTAAGAGTGAAATACTGAGATAAACTGCTCAAGCACGTCCTATACATCGTCTTCCCACAGTATCCACTAATGCTGGGGGGGAGCGTAACCAGCAACTTTACATTAGGAGTCCGATTCAGGACTCATTTACCCCTGACAACCATCTGTTTGATGGCTATAATTATATCAACAGAGAGCCGCAGTCAAAGAGAATGTTCTCTCTCCAAGATTCCCCTCATTTTTTGTTTCCACTCACTCATACCCTCATTCTGTTTCGCCCTGGAATTTTCATCAGCTATACTTTAAGTATATTTAATTTTTGTGATGATAAAAGAACTCCCCCTCTACGATCAGAAATTAAATTAGGCCAGAACCCACCGTATCTCACCTCCTGTGCTTCTTAGTTTTTGTAATAAATCATTAGCCAGAACGCACCAGAGCCCTGAATAAGAAGGCTGCGGCACTTCTTTTATGTAGTTGAATAACAATTTCAGTGGAAATTTTTATCTCGAAAATTTTATTTTAACAAATAAAATTATATTAAAAATTAGCGTTATTAAAATTTCAATTATCTCTTTACATTTTATTTAATTTTAATTAGTTAATTACTTCAATCTTTAATTATTTCAATAAATAATAATTAATTATTGATTAAATTATAATTAATATATATAATTATTGATTAAATAACAATTTATAAACATTAATTAAATAGTTATTAATTAATTTGATAATAATTAACTATTTATTTTAAAATTATTAATGAGTTTAATAATCATTTTATTTATTTATTTACTCTTGTTCCTCTCTGCTGACGGTCTTCCATTGTGGTCCAGCACTTCTAATCTTAGAAATTAAGCCCTGAATATGCATGAAATATAGCAATAATATGTGTGAAAAACGAAGTGATAATTATTTTATAATTTATTCATAAAAACAAATGGCTAATCTTTGGAATATGGTAACAGGTAGTTTGGCGACATTTTGGTAAGGCGATAAAGATTACTAGCTAGGACTTTAGCAGTGTACATGGATAAAGTCAAGAGTGTGCACAATGCCATTTTTGTGCAATTCGGGGATTTTTTTTTTAAGTGAAAATAGGTCGACGTGTACATGGATGATACCGTGTATGTGCAATTCTTAAAAACGCGGCAAGCAGTTTGCGATTCTCCACTTTCTCCCAATTTCGGACCTAATCTTTCTCATGATTAAGCACTTTTGTTCCATAAAAGTTCTAGCATAAGCGTAATTCGGCTAGCAGATTGTTGGAAAAAAATGTTGAGTAAAAAAAGAAAAAAAAACATGCCTTTACTTCGTGAAAACAAAATGGCGTACAAACAAAAACTAGCAGGTTACTGTAGCAGGGTTGGTCGCCAAATTTTCACCTAAAAATTGCAAAGTTACCATAATCCAATGTGCTTAGTTCTGCAGTTCCCATGGTATTAAAAATTTCTTTTGTATTTTGATTTTGACTTGAAGAACTCCAAGAAAGATTGAATGGAAGTGTAGAATTCTACCTACGACAGAGTAAAGACCAATGGACCTAGAGTAGCTTACTGAATTCTATAAATGGAAATGCAGCATTACAACTTTTAAAGCTAAAAGGTTCACACGTTTAAACAAGTTTAAATTCATGATTAAAATAAACAAACGTATTTTCACTAAACACAGATCTCTCAAAAAAATATATTTTCTAATATCGTTGTTAATATAAAATAAGACAGTCTGATTTTATTGTATTTATATTGGCAGAATATTACAAGATTTGCTCTCAGACTAATATTTATTCTGACATATTACATAATGATAACGCTTCATTATTTACACAAATATACCAATCCTAAATGATTTTACGTCATTACTTATACATAACGATGTATAAAATACAACTATTTATTCATACGAGTATACAAAATACATGACATCATAATTAACAATATCTAACAATGCTAAAATTAAAATAATCCATAACATACTGAAAACATGGAAGAGAAGGTGCATTAATGCTTTAAGTTAAAGAAAATAAAATTTCACTGCTCATGTTTTCACCATCTATAAAAGAAATTCGAACTTAAACATATATCCACCGACACATCCGGTTTGTTATGTTTTCCATTTTGTGTATAAATTTAGTTTCATACCTATCTGCCTAGTTTTCATGATCTACTTGACAAAAGGTCAAGTTCCAATGACATATGGGAAATTTTTTAAAATTAAATTACAACTTCATTTATGTTACTTCTTCATATTCAAAACTTTTTTTTTTTTTTTTGACAATCAAAACATTACGTGTCTTAAAAATTGCGTCATGAAAACTGATGCCATTCCCAAAACTCAAGTGAATAGACAGACAGACAAAGTAGACAGATGTCTTGTTTTGCACCATTACCTCTACTGTGAATTACCACGGTGAAAGGTACACATTCGATTGATATGCAATAAAATAACTTATTTAAAATATATATATATTGTTTCATAAGAATAAATTGAGTTTAATTAAAAAAATTAAATTTGGAAGCACTTCCGCAGAGAACCCGGTATATGTAAACATCGCCAACTTTGGCTATAATAGTTCAAACCTGGTAACCCAGCGGATTTATCCTATTCGCTTGTTCGAAGTTTGCAACCATTCCTCTTGCGTTCATTTTGTTGAATTATCACTGTCGTTGTTCGCATTTGCAGATTTATATTATTCTTCTCTTACTTATTATTATTTTTTTCTGAATTTTTTAACAACGAATAGATAGAAATATTTTCGTAGATAGATGCCGGTTCTCGGTTCGGGATGAAAGGAAGAAAAAATACGGCGGAGGGTGAAGCTAATTTGTAACACGGCTGTTCACGTTGTGTTCTTAATTATTAACAGCTCTAAGAACCAGCAATTTAAATTACTAAGTAATGCTTTTATTTTTATTATTAGTTATTGTCATCTAAAATTATGAGAATAAATCAATTTTCTGGCGTAAAATTTTAACAAGATAATATATTGTTAATGCTTTTCTAACAATAACCTTTCAGAGGATGGCAAGTGTGACATAAATAGATGATTGAGTTGAAATAAAAAAGATTATTCATTATCTAACATGACAGAATAGTTTGATGCATCACCATGGTCATCAAAATTAGCAAACCACTGCTGGTGTAAGGAATATATTGTTTTCTGTAATAACTGGAATTTAAGACAATTTTTTTTTTTTTTTTTTTTTTTTTTTTTTTTTTTTTTGTTTATCACGTTTAACAGGTTAATTTCAGTAATTAATACTATTTATATTTTTTCAAATGAATTTTTATTTCCGTTATAAATGCTTATATATTGTCTTATACTTAATATATTCTTTTCTGTGCTAAATTGAATTTAATATAATTTTCGTATATCACGTTTAACAGGTTAGTTTTACATCTACATGCTTATTATCTGTGAATTTTTACTACCATATGCTTAATATATTGTTTTGTCTGCTAACTTGAATTTACATGCACTAAAAATCACGTTTACTAAAAATCACGTTTACAAAATATCACGTTTGCGGCTCGGCTCATCGCCGATGAACCGCGAGCTTGGCGAGTAAAAATGCAACGGCGCCAACGGGTTCTTTCCCGAAGCGCCAACGGGTTCTCTGCGGATGAAAACCCTTAAATTTAAATACATATTGTTACGAATTTGGTATTTAAAAAGCTAATGTTAGTTCAATTATAAATTAAATGGTTTTATTCTCGCGCAGCATGCAGCGCGTGACGAATATTAAAAGAAAGCTAAGCCGGAAAAAAATTAAAAATACAAGAGCGCGTGCGTTAAATAAATAAATATCTTTTTTGATTCGAGAAAGTACTGGAAAATTCTAGCGCGTGATTTTAAAATCTTATAAAAGGAGGAAAACATCTCAGTTTGAGTAATTGCTTAGTTTGTTGTTTGTTTAGAAAACTGCCGTTGTTGATTATAGCGAATTCGCGGAATAGCGTTCTTTAGCTGTTTTGAATTACGTTCTATTGTACATTTAAGTAGTTAAAAGATAACTACTGTGAGATATTGTGATAATAATAAATTTTTGTTCATTTTTCATCGGACTTGTGCATTCATTTCATAACGAACCCGTACGCACGCAACAAATTTTGGTGTCAGAAGTGGGATTTGAATGCCAATCACAAGAGCGATGGAAGAGCAGTTAAGACAGTTCATTACTGCTTTTGCTGCTTTCCAAGAAAACGTTACAGATTTTCTGGTAACGACTGTTAGCGAACGGAGACAAAAAGAAGAAGAGAGACGAAAACAAATAGAATATGATGAAGAGGAAAAGCGAAAATAAATAGAATCTGAAAAACCGGAAAAGATAAGACTACGAACTGGAAATGGCGCGAGTTTTCATGCAAAATCTCCAAACTGTGTCAAAACTCAGGTAAAACTCATACAAGTGCGTCTCAAAACTCTGGCATTCTCAATAGATCCAAAAGAAATTTAATTTACCGAAATTAAAGATTAGGCATTTTAGTGGCGACATTAAGGGTTGGATACTCTTTTTTAGTCATTTTCAACAGATTCATAAGGATGAAGAAATTGATTCTGAAATTATTCACAGTACCTTATTCAAGCTACTGTAAGTGGATCCAGAGCACGAGACGTTGTAGAGTCAACAGGAGTTAACTTAACTACCCCAAAGCAGTTGCTAGTCTCAAAACTCGTTTTGAAGAGATGAACTCTTAGTGTTTAACTTAGTTTTTAAAACTGATAATTTCGGTTCAAAAATATGGAAATATTTCAATGGCATCTCTGTGTGATAAACCTGAAACGTATGTTACAAATTTGGTATTTAAAAAGCTAATGTTAGTTCAATTATAAATTAAATGGTTTTATTTCCCGCGCAGTGCAGCGCGTGACGAATATTAAAAGAAGAAAGCTAAGCCGGAAAATTAAAAATACAAGAGCACGTGCATTTAACATTAAATAAAAAATATGTCTTTTTGATTTCGAGAAAGTACCAGAAAATTCTAGCGCGTGATTTTAAAATCTTATAAAAGGAGGAAAACATCTCAGTTCGTAGTAGTTGCTTAGTTTGTTGTTGTTTAGAAAACTGCTTTTGTTGATTGTAGCGAATTCGCGGATTAGCTTTCTTTAGCTGTTTTGAATTACGTTCCATTGAACATTTGAGTAGTTAGAAGATAACTACTGTGATATATTGTAATACTGCACGATTATTTGAGGACATTTAATCATATCTGTTGTGATAATAATAAATTTTCTTCATGTTTCATCGGACTTATGCATTCATTTCGTAACGAACCCTACGCACGCAACAATTTTCGGTGCCAGAAGTGGGATTTGAATGCCAATAACAAGAGGGATGGAAGAACAATTGAGACAGCTCATTACTGCTTTTGCTGCTTTCCAAGAAAAGATGGAAGCTGGCCAAACATCTTTTAAAGAAGAAATTAAAGAGAAAATGGATGCTGGTCAAAGGTCCGTTAAAGAAGAAATGAAATTGGGCCAGAATCCCTCAAGGAAGAAATGAAAACGGCACAGGAAACAAATGAAGTTGGGCCAGGAATCCGTTAAGGAAGAGATGAAATCTCATAAAAATGAGATGAAAGCAGGTCAGGACGAAATGAAAAGAGAAATTACCTGCGTAATACAAAATAAATTTGAGGCTATGGAAGGCAGAATAGACGCGGTTGAAACTAAAGTTGGACTAATAGAAGAAAGAGTTTCTTCGGTAAAAGAACAAGTAGAAGAAAGAATTTCTTCTGTAAAAGAACATATAGAAGAGAGAGTTTCTGCCCTCGAACAACAAATTGATGATAGGGTTTCTGCTGCCGTCGCCAAAGAAGTTGACAGCCTAAAGAAGTGCATAGCGACGGTAGGAAACAATTCTGAAGGTTTCAAATGTTTATCGATGCCTGCTCGTTCCTTTTTGAAACTATCTACATATGATGGGAAGACCTCCTGGCAGGTGTATAGGACACAATTTTCTATCGTTGCAGATGCGAATGGATGGGATTCCCAAGCTAAGGCCTGTCATCTCGCCGCTTTCTCTGAGAGCAGACGCAGCGGTATATCCTGCAGACGCTTCCCGAAAATCAAAGGCAAGATTTCGAAGCTCTATCCGGCGCTTTGGAGCTGCGCTTCGGCGAGAAATGTTAAAAGACTACAGCAGGCTCCAATTAAAATCTCGTCAACAGAAGCCTACCGAAAACTTCAGGAGCTCGCCGCGGATGTTGAAAGGCTGTCCCCATCTCGCCTTTTCGGAATGCCCGACAGAAACAAGGAAATCCTGTCCTTACAATACTTTATCGACGGCATCCGATGATACTGAAATACAGAAAGCTCTTCGAATGGCAGATGTAAAGGTTATAAAAGCGCTCTGTTGTACGCCATGAAGTTCGAGGCAGCCCAGCAAGCAACTAGTAGAGATCGCTACCCAGTTAGAGCTGTGCGAGTCCAGGAGCATGGATCAACTGATGGCTCGTTTAGAGATGATTTAGCCAGACAAGTCGAAGATTTGATACGAGTAGGAGGCGAGAAGAAAGTGGCTCTAAGGTGTTGGAGATGTGGTAGTGAAGGTCACCTAAGACGGAACTGCAGAACACCCCGAGGTACAGAAAATAAGACCATTTCCCAGCAACAACGCAGTAAACAAATTAGTCACCATATCGAGGAACGGAGGTTGCCAGATAGTGAAAAACCTTGTTTTAAAGCTCTTAAAATTTATACAGTGAGTGGCAACAATAACGGACTGTCCATCAATGGGAATATCGATGGAGTTCCTTGCAGTATGATCATTGACACAGGAGCTAATGTTACCATCATTAGGAAAGATTTAGCTGAAAAGTTTAAAGATAAACTTATTGGACGCCATCCTGTGTTACCCTTCAGACTGCGTCGGTGACAAGATCGACATAACTGGGAAGTTAAACGTAAACATCACGTTTGGAAGTGCCGCCTACCATCACACGGCATATGTGGCGGATATTACAGATCCATGCATACTCGGATTGGACTTTTTAGGAAATACAATTTTTCCTTAGACTTGAAAAACAACAAACTGCTTTAGGATCTGAAGACATGACTATCCATCCTAAGAAGGGATCCTCACCTGGAAATGCCGACCCTTTGTCCGAAAGAACCAGCTCGAGAAACAGCCGAAATCATGCTAGGGCCTAAAAGAAAACAGAACTACCAGCTATTCTCATCTCAGATGCCCTTCGGTCGAGACTTCGTCTGCCTTGTGACCGCCTGTTTCATCGCCGTACGGATGCGCCTTCATCGCCTGAGGAACAATCCAAGATGTCAAGGCCCGTTTTGAAGTGATGCACCGTTCCGCACGAAAGCGAGTGAACT